AAGTTGCAATCTATGGACTTAAAAATATAATGATGTCAACCGTATATTTATTTAATTATATGAATTTGAGGCTTTTGAGTTCTTCGAAAACAATAAAGTCCAAAGAGTTGTTGACATAAGATCAAAAATTTCCAGTTGTCAAAGTCAAGGAAAAAGTTTTAAATAGAAAAATTAAGGTTTGATTGACATAATATTTGATTATTTGCACCAAGCTTAAACTATTGAGTCTTTGATTTATTTATTTTTTCCCTAAAAAATGGCCGTCCTTTAATTTTAAGAATTCGTTATAAACTTTATTATTCGGATTATTAAATTTAAATTGCCGACGATGTTTCTAGGATAAAAAATAATAATTAATTGATCTAACATTTTTTTATTAAGTCTGGAATTTTATTTTTTGTAAAAAAAAAAAAAAAAGAAGAAGGTAATTTAATTCATTAAAAAATATTTTAATCAAATGTGCTTGTTTGGTATGAATTTTGATAATTAATTTTTTGAGCGTTAGAGATAAAGTGAATCCTACATGTGAGAAAAGAATTCAAAAATGACGATTGAAATAATAAAATAACGGTCAAAAAATTGATTATAACTAGCTTAAAATCTAAACCAAACAAGATCTATATATAGCATATAGTCAGAAACATGAGATTCTGAGAGCATGTTTCGTTGTGTTTCTAAATACATTCACATATATGTTTTAGAAAGTTGACCGTTTCAAATATCTACACGAAGGGGTACATACTCTTAAAGCATGTTCAATAATTATAGTGGAGACGATTAAAGAAGAGATGCATGTAATGAAATTGTTACTTAATTGACACATTGCTTAGTCGAAAAGACGTGAATTAGAATCAACATGTTAATCACTGTTGTTAAATCTGAGTTGCACCGTCATCATAACAAATCTATAACTCAATCATAAAAGTGGTTAACCAATTAGTACTTTTTCAAATAAAAGCACTTAAATTTTTGAAATTGAAAAATATAATTGCTTTCTAGTGAAGCTTATAATGAATTGAAACCATATTGCCCACCATGTGTGTAGATAAAAAGTTGGTATGACATGATTGAATTAAACATTAGAATAGACATGAATGAGAGCACCATGTGGTCCTTCCAACAAACCATTTCTCCAACCCAATTTAAAACTTTAGCCTTCTAAGTGCAAGCAAAGAAAAGGAGGAAATTAATCCCAAATAAAAATAGAGAAGGAAGTTAAATTTGTTAGATGGGTTCAATTTATTGGCTGTTTAGGTACAGAGCTAATTTTTATTCTATTTTATTGCGGGTAAGTATTGTCTAAGGTTCATGATTGAAAGTGGGACCACTTATCTATTTATCTGTGCATGTTCTTCTTATAAGCAATATGACCATTAATCCATCTACCAATTAATCAATGGAAAGTAGTTTGTAAACATCCAAAGAGATGAAAGTACAAGCAATCTGCCAAAATAAATAAATAAATAAATAAAAGGAGGTAGAGCTAGCTTCAAAACATGACTAAAGAATAAATCTCATAACTTTTTCAATTTTATTTTATTTTTATCATTCAAATTGAGGGAAAAAATAGTTGAAAAACTTAGATCATGATCCATATAGAAACATGTGGGTGCCTATATTAGAATCCCGTACACTTGTACGACTAATTTTTTTTCTTAGTTACTTGAAAATCGAATCGTCACTATATGTTACACGTATACATTATACTTAGTAAAATATAAATGTTGTCCTCAAACTAATGTACACGTATAATATACACGCTCGTCTAGTGACAAGTACCACAATATATTTGGTGTAAATCTGCATTGCATTGCATGTATACTCATAATGGAGACAATGAAAGGCATGTATATGCCTAGAACAAGACAGTATCTATGAGGTCATTGTCTCACCAATTGCCACGGCAATTTGGTTAGCTAATGTAAGTTGTCTCAATCCCAGACTTCAGTGAATCATCTCTTATCCTTGTTTGATACCTCAACAAATTCTGTTAGTTTATATAGCAAGACGGACTTCGATTATTTCATTAAATTACTTTTGTAATGACATTAATCATCTAGTTTTTGTAGTTTCAACATTTACTTCTTCTAAATGTTGTAAATGGTAGCACGTGCGATCGAGTTTAAATATCTATCTAGGTACATAAATAAATATACAAGTAAGTAACATGAGTTTGAGCCCCATTGTTTTCAAAAAATGCATTTTGAAATTTATGAAAGAGAATGTGTAGTTAAAAAATAAGAAAAAGTTTTGAATTTGTGTGTAATATTATTTTATTAATAAATGTGTGGTTGAAATGGAGTCAAATCAATATATTTTGATTAAAAAAAAAAGGGCTCAAATAAGTGCGAAATTTAATTACTTGAAATGCAATTCATACTTTATGAAAAGAAATGATTATAGAATTGTGCAATATTGCAACTTAAGTTTTACGTATCCGATTTCACTTCAAATTCATGTTTCTTTCCAATGATGATGATGATAATCTTGACTAATACCATCGTACGATTTTAATGCATGTCAATTCGTGATTTTAGATGAATTTGAAAAGTCGTAGATGTACATAAAAATCGTAAAGTTACAATAATGGTCATTATGACCATCATATAAAGAAAACTTTTTATGATGGTTTTTATGATCGTCATGAAGCATTATACTTATTATTAAAATTTATTTTTTTATAGTTCGTATTTATGAGTTACAGAGAACTTTACTGGATCGTAACTACTAATTCACACGACTAAATATGTTTATTTACATGGCATTACGATTATTAGTGTTGTGAAAAGTTACTACTTATTTTTATACACCCTACGGTGAGTAAAAATTTGTATCAATAGAATGGGCAATCAAACATGTTGTTCACACATTCCATTGTTCGTATCTAACTGTATACAAGTCAAAAAGATACTCATGGTAACCTTTTGTTTCGAGAAAATTGGTAATTGTGAACATATTAAACAATCTACAGTAGATAAGCAAAGTTGTAAATTCTGGTATCGTACTTTATTTAAGTAATAGGCATTGGTCGTCACACTGGACTCAAGCAACTATTTATCAAATGTACTAGTTTCGACAAAGTAATAAAATCGTGTATGCAGTACAGGGGCGGACCCAGACCGTTCGAGCTGTGGGGTCAAAATTTTTTTTTTCGAACAACATATTATGAACAAAAAGGAAAAATCGGTTGTTTGTTTTTCATGTTCGATATTTGCACTTTGGGAAGAACTTGGTGGATTATATGATATATCTATGAACTAAATAATGGATATAGACCATGTGATATGGATATAGATTTAGGATTTAGACTTTTTGGGGCAAGAAATTAAGTTTTCAGCAACAGGAAAAAATAAAATAAAATAAAATAAAATAAAATAAAATTCCAGAAAACTGTGGGGTCATTTGACCCCACATGACCCCATGTGGGTCCGCCCCTGATGCAGTATGATTATAAAAGAAAAAGAAATGCATAAAATGGGGTAGGGGACTACCTATTTTGTCTCTTAATATGCCTTAAAATTAGACACAATATCACTATTGGAGTGCGTGGGACAGGGGTAAAGCCTGCACTCGACGAGCCCTTGTGGCTGCCCGTGCTGACTTCGTTAGAAATTTTTTCTTATATTGAGTGACTGTCCGTGTTCACCTATATTCCTGAATCCGTCACTAGGGATGGGGTGGAGGTTGGATCCAACTTATTCCATGCAGGCAGCTTTGGATCCAACTCTATAGTTGAAAAAAATGTTGACAGTTACTGGTAGCTCAAAAATGTCTTCTTGCAACATTTTGTTTTGTACATGATGCCATTCACGAGGAAATATATGCATTTATCCACCCTTTTCTTGTTCTTTTTGATAATTACAATGTTTGTACACAAAAACATAAAAGTTTCAGAAGAAAGATGTTAAAATTTGTAGTCCTGTATCAATGAATCTGCATTATTTTTTTTCTCGTTTTAGCTTTGTTTTTTTTCATTATAGCCGTAAATATACGATAATGATCTAAGAACATCACAAGCATTGGCAAAAAGAGATGGCGACCAATTCTTTTGAGAAATATAAAGAATAAAAGAGAATTTCGGAACATACTCGTTGAGATATAAAAACATATTATACGACACTTTTGTGATAGTGGGTCATTTCATAATTTGATTACAATTGACTTCTCGAAAATTATTTATCATTTATTCATGTCAATAAGTGAAATTTCATCTTCGATAGTATTTTATTTGTCTCTCATTACTATGGTTATTAATAATTTTTATCTCTCTACGTAGATAGTCATTACACTTTTGTTTTAGGGGGACAGAAAAAAAAAAAATCTATTTTTCACATCAAATTAATTCCCTTTAAAACACTCACATTTGATGGCAAGTTTCACCTTGCTCAAATTGAATCGTTTTTTACTTCACAAAATCGTATACATATTGTGCTGTGCGTTTAAGCGGATCAAATATTCTCTGAAGATTTCTTCACTCAAATTCTTCCGGAAATATTTCGTATGTTGGTTTCAATCAATCATTGGTATTTTCATTCTTAAAATAAAATCTTAATAAATTTCTCTTTATATATATATATACACAAAAATTCAACTAAAATATTTTTTCATAGAAGCTAAATTCAATGAAATAACTGTAAGTAGTTTCGATATTTGTTATTTCATTACAACCTCAAAACAGTTATCAGTTGTACAACCAAAACATACGGATTTGCATTTTAAATTTTCATATGTTTCTGTCTGAAATCTGAACTCTCCCATAAATAGACGAATTATGTTATTTGTACAATGTTTTTGTACTGGAAAAAAATATTAGTTGAAATGATGAATTGTTTTTTAAACAGTCAAATGAAAGCACGTGTTAATAATATTGTCAAAATTATTGTATACCGATTATTGTTCTAAATAGACTCTGTACCCTTGTGTGTGTGTGTTAGATAGACGGGGATTATTAGGATCCAACTTGAAATTTTTAGACTTGGGTTGAAATTTAGAATTGGACAAATTGGCAGTGGGAACACCGATGAGGCTGCTGTTAAGAGAAAATCGTAAAAGAAAATTAACAATTTTCTTCATTTGGAAGCTTTTTCCTTCTCATTTCACCTTTGCATACCCAGGTGGCACAGATACTATTCTACTCTCTTTTCCAAAACTCTCTCTCTCACACGCATTTTTTTCACTTTACAACCTTTCTTTTCTTTTATATGTTTCTGTATTGTAGTCTTTAATGGCTGCCCCCACACCTAATTTTCCTTCATTTTAATAAGGTCAAGGATGTTTTGTTTGTTTTTTTCATCTCTGAGGTATCTCTTTTTGGTCGGTAGGGAATTAGATACTCTCCCAACAAAAAATAAAGCTTCAGTTTTTACCCTTTTGTGTGTTAAATGTCTGTAAATACCTGTCCAGGTTGATTTTTTTAGTGCTTTTAATGTAAAGAAAGGTCCATTTTTGACAAAATATTTTGTGGGTGTCTCTTGAATTTGTTCATTTCTTGGTGTTCAATGAGTTCAGAGAGTTTTTCATTTGGGTTTGACAGAATTTGATGAAAAATCATTGCTGTGAAAAAATTGAAGTTTTCATCAAAATAATTATTATGAACTGAATTCTAAGCTTGACTGTGTGAAGAGTTGTGTGATGTGATCTTATTGTCATTGAAGGGAAGATTGGATGACTTTGAGGATTTTCATCAAGTCATCTGAGGAAGCTTTGGGACTTTTTTAAGTGTAAATTCTGGTAATTATTTTCTTTGAAGGGAAAGGTCATATTGGAATTGCTAAAAGCAATTTTTTGAAAAAAGTTAGAAGGCAAAACTTGATTCTTTACCAGACAGAGAAGGCAAAAGTTCCTTGATCTTTACTCTCTTAGATAGCTTGTGTAATCTGTGTGTGGCTACATGGTGGATCAAGTTTCAGGTAATTCTTCTCTTCTGCAAATGTGATTTTTATTTTTTATTTTTTGTTTCGCATATTTTGTACTGAGCTTGTGAAATCTTCCTGTGATGAGTGAAAAGATTGATGTAGCCAACCCCGAATTTGTTGGGAAGAAGTCTTAGCTTTTTGTTCTGTATCTACTGAACTTTTTTATTTGTGTAGAGTATCATCTGCCATTCGTCCCTTAATATGTTCATTCTCCAGTCAAAGAATTTTGGTAGTTAAATTGCATAAAGATTAGCGCATTCAAGAAAAGGGACGCTTTTTATGATTACTCTGAGCATCATCAGTGGAGTTTTATAGTGATCGTAAGAAGTTTTGCTTTGTGTGTGTGTGTGTTTGCGGGTGATAGAGCATTTATAGAACTTTTTCCTACTACGAGATGGTCAGGAAGAATGCACCGGACCTAATGTGGCATATATATATGATATATCTGACGCCCTTGTATTATTGAGTAGATATCTTTGTTGGGAAAATAGTTTTTGTCAAATGCATCATGATCATCAGATTAGACGCTAAAGAATTCTACGTATATTACAAAATAAATTCACTAAAAAAATAGTTTCTTGTTAAATGCATCACAATTATCAGATAATTACATGCCCAAGAAATTTATGTAGGTTGACAAAACAAGTTTATTTAAATTAGCTGATCAAATCATGTGTTATTCATAAAAATTTCTGATGTGCAATTCATTAGCTGATCAAATCATGTGTATGTTCATAATTTCTAATTTTTGGAGATTCTTTTGTGACTTGGTGCTCATGAAGGTGGATATTGGCTTGGCATACCTAGCTTTTCTATTAAATGTCATTAATTTCCCATTTCCCATTCTTTCTTTCTGGTGCTTAGACTTGCAGTAACAGAAAGGAAAATTAACGAAGTTGAAAGACTGAAGGCCCTAAAATCACTTGTTATGGCGAAGAGATCACAGAGATGCCTGTCACAGCATGAAAGGGAGCAAGCAGGTTGTATATGGAGTCTTATCAGCATATTGGATTTTCGCCATGGTCGATCCAACCGAAAATTGATTGCCGATAGAAGGCGAGCAAGCAGACAAGCTGTTGGTAAGGACTCTATGTAGAAGTAACATTAAGGGTGTTGAGCCACCTTATCTAAAATCTTTGAAGGGAGAACTCAACTTTTTTATCATGCCTGACATAGGTACAATTATTATAAAACGAGTGGCAGCTATACTTGTAATCCCCTATCTTTGCTGGCTGGCTGTAATACCAATCTAATGTATTATAAGACCAACAAAGACATATGGTTCGAGCCTTGCTGCCACCCTTTTATAAAATTGTGTGTGCGTGAGGCCAAATGAATCTGATTTGCATGTGAGGGCATGTTGAAGAGAAAATTTTGTGCTGTCTCTAACTGCTTATACTTTTAATGAGCTCATTCAACAATGAGAATTCACATTCCTACTTACAGAGTCAGTTTTTACAGATTCAAGATATGTGCCATTGCTGCTACCTATTTGCTCTTGGCCTAATCATGCTTCTTCCCTTGTGCTCTTTGGTAGGTGCCGGGAATTCAAGTACCAAAATAATTGTACCTGGTCCAACTGGATCGGTAAGTCTTGGCTGCTTTTCCACGATGACCTATGATTTGTCTGCTTGTTTGATTAATTTAATGTTGAATTTCAGGATGGTGAAGAAAGTAAGGTGGTTGCCAAGACAAGTGTAAAGGAACTCATGGAAGAAGAGATGCTCATAGAGCAAGGCTCAAATAACAAGGCAAATGAGTCTGAAATATGTTTGAAGCACGTTGATTCAGAACATGGACACCCTATTAAAAAAAATTATAAGCGTGTAAGCAGAACTCACAAGTCATTTAGTGATATGAATGTCCCCAAATCAGATGCTGCAGAATCTTTGATGTCCGATAAAGTTGTTGAGGAAAAAGTTTCAGATACTTTTGATCGAGAAATAATGGAAGAATTATCCCAGGTTTATCAGAAATCTTCCAGCTTCATGAAGCGGGATTCTCACTACAATCTTGACATGCCGTCTGGTCGGGATCTCTCAAAATTAGTTGCAGCAATAAAGGTATTTAAAGATCGAAGGTTAAGTAGCAGTAAGCATTTTGGGGAAGAGGTGAAAGCCAATTGTTCGAAAGAGTTTATGGATGCTCTGCAAACTTTAAGTTCTAATAAGGACTTGTTCTTAAAACTATTACAAGATCCTAACTCTGTACTAGTGAAACAGATGCAAAACTTGGATGATGCTCAATTAGACAAAGACCAGAAACCAGGTTCTTTGATGGGATCTGGTTTGTCTAAGGAGAAGCTAATAAACTCGAAACCTGATGATCTTTCAGATCGTAAACACCGTAAATTCTTCCACAGAAAGAGCAAATCTCTTGAAAGCTATCCCACTGGAGGAAATAAAAGTTGTCAATCTTCTAGTTCAATTGTTATCTTGAAGCCAGGACCAACAGGGTCACAGAGCCCACGTGCTGACATCAGTATTAGCAGCACTTCTTTGCAGTCGCCTTATGCCATGGATAATGAGGTACAGAATAAGAGGAATACGTCCCAGTTCTCTTTTAGTGAAATTAAAAGAAAGCTGAGGCATGCCATGGGGAAGGAGAAACCAGGGATTGCTCCTGATGGATTGGTCCTTAAATTTCCTTTTAAGTCTCAAAATGGGAATGATAGTGACAAAGGTGCTAGTGGAGAAAATGTTGGGTGGAGTTCTCCAAATAGGAACCATTTTTATACTGAAAGATTTGCCAAATCCCCAACTGGCATTAAGAGCAGTGAACAAGTGGGAAAATCAAAAGATAATGCTTCAGAAAGGGTTAACAGGACTCTTAGTTATCCGAGGAAAGGGGTGTCTAATATCTATATTGAGGCTAAGAAACATCTCTCCGAGATGCTAAACAATGGGGGTGAAAATGTAGAGTCTGGGAGCCATTGCAGACCGAAGTCCCTGGGCAGGATTCTTTCTTTTGCCGAGCACAACGATTCTCCATGCTTCAGTCCTAGAAAATATGGTGATGATATATTCATAACTGCCCAGATAAGGTTATCTCCACAAGGCATGGCTAACAACATGAATCAGCTTGTGCAAGAAAGCCATGACAATCATCAAAGTTCACCTGCACCAAACTTAGAGAATCAACTTCACATAGCAGTTGACAGCACCAATGAGAAAGTACAATCTCGTAATACTGAAATCAATATTCCAAGCAAACATGATCTTGATTGTTCTGAAGAAACTGAATCTTTTATCCATGATGTAATAATTCCTGAAGGTATTCTATTCATCTATTCTTTTTAAAAATATTTCAGATGGCATTTTACTTAAAATTCTGATGACTGTAAGATTATACCATGGTAACAGCTCCGAATTCATCTTCAAGGGTTGTGGAGACTGAAGAAACAACTGGATTGAGTCCCAAGGAAGGGGAAAAACTCGTAACTATTTCTGGAGATTTGGCTAGGGATCTAATAAACAGAGATGTGCAGGATGGTGGTATTGAAGAAAAGGTCCTTGAAGAAAGTCCTTCCCCGTGCTTGAAAACAGTAAACTACTATTTTACTGAAATAAGAACCTAAAGCTAATAATGACAATAGAAACACAAAGCGCTCCATCTATGTGGGGTGGTGATAATATTTTTACTGCAGCCTGTTTATCTTTAAATTTTGTTTTCTGATCATTTACTTTGCACGTTTAGAATTCTTTTTATTCCTTCCCAGGCTCCATCTGAAGATGATGGGATATCGTCTTCTCCATCAGTGTCGCCATCATACTCTCCAATCAGCAGGAAATTAGATCCTGATTGTGAAATTGTTAAAATGGAACGACCGAGTCCCATATCCGTTCTTGAGCCATTATTCACAGAAGACGACGTTAGTCCTGCAAGCACCATATCTCAGTCAGGTTAGATTGTTGATATAGAATTTAATAAGCCTTACTTTTCTTTGTGCTTTATATCATGCTGAAACAAATCTGTTTGTGATATTCAGTCAATAAAGATATCCAGCCACGACAAATCCATTTTGAAGAACAATCTGCTTCTAGTGACCAGGGAATTTGTACAAGAATTTCTATTGAGGGTGAGGAATCTGCATTTGAATATGTGGAAGCAGTCTTGTTAGGTTCAGGTTTGAACTGGGAAGAATTTATTTTGAGTTGGCTTTCTTTGAGCGAAATTCTTGGGTCGTCGCTTTTTGATGAAGTCGAGTTGTTTTCCAGTCGATCTCGTCATGATCAAAAACTCCTCTTTGATTGTACTAATCAAGTTCTAAAAGACATCTGTGAGACTTATTTTGGATGCTTCACCGGGATATCGTTTGTTAAACAGAATACTCGCCCAATCCCAACGGGTATGAATCTTATTCAAGAGGTATGGGAAAAGCTCGAATCACATCTCTTTCAGCATCCACCGGCAGAGTCTCTGGATCAGCTTATCAAGAGGGATACAGCAGAACATGGAAAATGGATGTGTCTCCCATCAGATATCGAGCATATTGGTACTGAATTGGGAGAGACAATTTTCTATGAATTGGTCGAGGACACCGTGTTGAGTTTTGCAAGTGATACTTCAGAATATGAATTTAGTGTGCTTCCAATCGCATCCGAGGAAATTGAAGATATTGACTTGTAAACTCGACCATCTATATCTCACAAAGTTCTTTAGTGCTCATTTGTTTTTCACATATGACATGTTTGGTAAGGCATATTAAATAGTATCGAAAGAAACTAGAATCTTGTTTATTGCCATATCCGGTACAGTCTAATACTGCATTTTTAACATTAAGACTATATACTTTGACATTCTCCAATGATATCTCGTGGATATTATTAGGATTCCGGAAGTACATGTCACTATAGCGTGTGATTTCGATAGCAGAAGTTACAAATAAAGGATCATTGACAAAACATAGTTGTCTGCAATGGACTCTTCAGAAAAAAGGCAGATTATCAGTTTCTGAGTCCCATATCTAACCAGAAAAAGGCAGAGACAAGTTCATCGGTGTAGAATTTTTGGGGTTTGGTATGTTTGATGTGTGTTTATTGTTCATATTGTTTGTGATTTTCTTTTGTTTTCAATCCTTGTTTTCTTGTAGGTTTGGTTTGTAATTACAAATTCAAGAAATTCCACTAGGGTGAGTTGTAATAGAAACATTATTTAGAAGAATGCAGATTAAAATCTTTTTAGGGGTGTTGTGTATAAAGATTGTCTGTCATTTACCTCAGCTTAGAGACGCTTTCTGTTTTATGTGCTGCATCAAATTTCGATGCATACATATTTCACCCATTGTATAGCTCAATCGAGCCTATCAAACATTCCCTCACAACAAAACAAATGAAGAAAATAACATTTCATATTTTTGTATAATGTACAACATTTATTCTGTAATTTGTATCCAAGTAGCACTTTACAGTCGTCAAAGTAAGGCATAGATTTCGGCCTTTTTACAATGAAGTAAGATTACACAGCCAAAACCAAAACCATCTTGAAACAAGAGAAAGCAACAGAATTGTTAAGTTCTTTGTAGTCAAATAGCTTAACAGAGCGTGCTATAAGTTCAAAGCATTCTCCAGAGCCATCTTTTGACACGTACTTTGAACTGCTAAGATCACTTGACTGCCCTAAGTGGAAGGTGGAGAAACTGCATTCACCGTGAGTAAATATTAGGTGCAAATGAGAATCCTGCAAGGAAAACATTAAACCCCTGTTGTATTTCCTCGCTCAGTATGCCTAACTATTTATGCTTCTTTTTCTGTTGTAGAGATGAAGTCGTGTTTAGTGGTCTCTTCTTGGAAAAAGCTTTTGTTTTACTTTCCAACTCGTCTTCACTATCTTCGTCAACATTTCTATCTTTCAAAGATGGCGCAAATTCTTCAGCTCTCCTCACGTCTTTCCTTTTCTCAGCATCCAACTTGGCAAGCAATTTTCTTTCGACGGGATCACTTGAATTTGCAACTCTGGTTCCCCGGGGAACTGTAGCACCAATTCCAAGCCTACAAAATTCTCTAAGAAAATAAATATATGTTTATGACTATACTACAGTGGAAACTCAAATGTTGCGAGAGTAATGACCTAGCAGGTCGACCCTCCAACTCTATTGCTGTTGATTTTCCATCCACTGAGGATTTACTCATGTTATTAACCCATAGTTCAGCCTGCGCACAGGACATAAATGTAAAACAGTTGTCTAATATTGTATCTGAGATAGCAAGAGAAAAAATTGTGAAGCCTAACCACATTTTACATTTTGAATCACAACAATCATCAAATAAAAGATAAAAACATTATAGAAGAGAATAAAATTTATAATTTTTAAGTTTCCAGTAGAACTATGTATTGGCGGACAATGTATATTTTCCTCTTTGGAACGAGAAGATAATCATGACCGTGTCAATAGATGTATTACAAGTCTGTGGTAGGTGAGTTTAGATTATGCAAATAGCGATGAGCTATCTTCAAGAAACTAAGTTTACAAGTTTTCAGTTCCTATATCTATCATTAAAGAACCTCCATCTCAAATGCAGGAAGGAATTGGAAGATAAAAATCCAAGCAAAAGCAAACAAATTACAGAAAGTTTAAGAACCAGTTACCAATCTGAACGCGTTGTTCAACTTCACCAATTGAGGTTGTGAGTGTTTCTTTGAAGCCTCTTCTTTACTCATTGCTACTTCTTCACCAACTGATTAGCAAAGAAAGTCGTAATTAGAAATTATCATACATAATCTTAAAATTAATCTAATTAGAAATGATCGTACATAATCTTAAAATTAATCAATGTGCTTGAACAAAAATATAAGAATTAAGGGTAAAAACTGATTATTTATATTGCTGAGCATACTCCAGCTGTATTTTACGAACAAAGAACAGCCACATTAGCCATACAAACAATATTCAAATTCCAATAAACCAGGGAATCATAACACCAGAGCAAAAAATAAAAGAATGGGGCCATCGAATTTTACAGATATGCAATTGGAAATAAAGCTAGGGTTTCAATATTGACCGCAAGGAACTAAAATAGTAAATTCATCAAACACCTTCTTTACAATACCAAATCTTTGAAATCTTCAACATATATGTCGAAATATGCATCATATATCACATATACACGCACATAGTACCTGAAATTAGATAGAGGAAATAGGTTGACGTGATAGGATCGCAGCAATGATTCGAGAGGGATTCACTTATATTATATATAGCTGGACAATTAGTTCATTCCTCCCCCATAAAATAATTTTGCCTGTAATCCCTATTTTTTTTTTCACTTTTTAATAATACATTATTTTAAAAAATTATTTTTTACAAAATTTATTTTCAAAAATGGGACACAATCATAGGCTTCATAATATAACTATGATAGAAATTGAAAGAATGCATATATGAAACTCTAGGGATTATGTTCGCAAGAATGAAACTCAAAGAAATTGACGCGACCTACGCAAACTATGAAGCATGTAATTTAATTCGATGCAAAGTAAAAAACCTTACTAGAAATTGACATGTTAGGAATATGGATGGTGCATGATTGTCGTTGTCTCATGTCATAAGGTGTTGGATTTAGTTCCACAACAAGCACACCCATCGTGTTCAATTACAATCATTTTGTTTAGAACCCTAAATGGATTGTCGGTGAAAAGTAAGAAGAAAGTGAAGATGACATCAAGCCCTAATGGCGTAGGAATATTTCATGTAGCAACTTAATTTCAAATATATAACATCGAAGGTCTCAAACTTTTTTCAGGTGCAATGTGAGTTTTAGGTTCATTCGGATGAAACTAGTTTATAGAAAGTTTTTTCTATGAATTTTACATTATCACAGTCAATGTATAATGTTCCTCAACATACAAATTGATTACCTCCAAGAAAATAAGTTGAATCAAAGGCCAAATAAACACTATTTTCATCTTTTCGAAAAAGACCCTTTAATTCTTCCTTCATTTTTTCAAACGTAAGCCAACTTGCTCTTTCATCGAATCTTTGAAGAATCTCTAAAAGACAAAATAATATCGTTAGATAATGAAGGTGAGCTAGTCATTACATAAATTACGTACATGGGCAAAAAATATGAAAGTAATATAGGGAAAACAATTATGCTAAGTGGACAGGGGTATTGACAGAATGGATACAGGGATTTGAAAATTGGTCACAGTGCATTATTTAATTCATTAAAAAATGGAGGGAAATTGATTAATTAATAAAACAAAGGTCGCTCTCTCTCTCCTCCCACTTCCCCAAAGTATAAAAACGAAAGGCCTGAAAATTTCCAGCCGATTCAATTGAAATTCCAACGAAAGGGAGGGGATTTCCTCCAGCCTCAATTGAAATCTCCATTTCCTCCCATTTTCCCCAAAAATTTTAACTTCCATCTCCACCCATTTTGAGTCCCAAAAAGGAGAAAGCAACCTCTGGTCGACGCATGCTTGAAGTACTCTGGTCGCAAGCGAGCTGTTACGAGAAGTTCAAGAAAATCAGCCTACTTCAATCAACAAAAATATTGAAATAATAAACTGCAAAAACTCTGAAATGAAAGAAAAATGCAAAAACACAAAAGGAACACGATATTTTCGCCCTAAAGCAAGAGGTTCGAAACTTCGTTCCTAAGCCTTTTGAGCTTCCGTCAAACGGAAGAAATTACTATATCAATGGAACCAAAATCTGTCCGATACAGTCTTCGTAGCACTAAGCCGAAATCACACAAGATTTCCCCCAAAATTAAGCCTCATAAACATTCACTCAAGAATGATGAATCGAAGCCTATACAACAATCACTCAAGATTATTTCAACACAAGCTTCTATACATTTGACAATGACATTCACTCAAGAATAACACCAATACACCTTATTAAATCACTCAAGATTAATTACACAAGGTTGGATTAATTTCTCATCAATAGGCTAAATTTTTGGAGTGCAAAAATTCAGATTATGGACCACCGAGAGAGAGAGACGAGAGGCAGAGTTCGTGAGGTGTGAGAGAAAAAAACTGAATTATATACATTTCACATCCAGCCAAGCTCTAGTGCCAATTAAATATGTATCCCACTTGAATCCTCTATCCAGTGGTAGTAATTGGACACTTGTTAAAATCTGGCAGCATTTTTTTAAAATAACAGAAACGTGTTTTCGGCAGCTTACGTTTTTGGCAAAGTAAAGCAGCAACCTTTTTTGTTTAAAGTGAATCAGCAACTCTCCAAATTAATTACAAAAGCCGGCCCAATTAGCAGGTTTATTCCAGCAGCTAATTACTTTGAGCAGCCCATCATTGTGCCATTTTCTCTACACGAGCTCAAGCGCACTCGGTGTTTATCTTTACGGAGTCCATAGGGGACAGATTTGACGACAGCCAGCTTCGAGTTCAATATCTAACTGATGTTTGAATGATTTGGAACACTTATAGTTGGTCTCGAAGAAACGCAAATTGCAATTATTAATTGCCCTTTTTTATTATATAAATGTTGAACGTGGGTTTGTTAGAATTTTGCTCGCCATTTGTGTGGTTGTGGAAGTGATTTTTTTTATGTTGTAATGATTTATGGTGGGCATGGCTTTGATGTAATATTGGTTCACTTTGGTTGCAATTACCCTGTGAGTGTTTATGTATTGTGATGAAGGTGCATGATAGAGATGGAGTTATACAAGGGGCTAGCTGGTTATTTCTTTTTCCTGGGTCTATAGTGCCAGCCACACAAGAAATAATGTAGAAATGCTGAGAGAAATAATGTAGATTTGGCATTGAATTGTATGATTAAGTATTTGATCTTCTCTAAAGCATTTTTACACAACCTAACAAGAACACACTAAACTTTGATCATTGTGTCTGTAGAATTCATCCAGCAAATCTTAGAACAAAAATTTTCACCACTGCACAAATCCACAATTCACACTTATTCTGAGCTGTCTTTTACCTTGGTTGAGACATTTTCAACAAGATGACTAAGTGGAGAGGAAGGGGGTAAATTCAGTGAGGTCAATGCTTACTAAACTAAGAAGATGTCCTCTCCATTTTAAGGTAGTTTATACCTCGGAAGCCTATGGATGCCAGCCATTCTAGACAAATCAAGCAAATGAAAACAGTTACTATAAAAGTGCAGTTGTGTCACCATTTAGTTCTTCAGGACAACGAACACAATAATTCATAAATTGAAGCGAAGATTATATTCCCTCGAATTATAATCAGTGTAACATCTTTTTATACTTTTTGCCATTTAATATCTCTCATACAAAGCGAGTAACTCTTTCCAGCAATATTTTCAAGTAACAATGACATTCAAAATAAGCGTTGAAATATAGCATTTCACAAATTAGAAGAATTTACAAACATAGTTTATATGCCTTCGCTCAAAATAGTTCAACCTCATATAAAAGATTATATAATAACTACTACTTCTACTAATAGCTACTAATCAGGTCAACCCCTTCCCTTCTCAATTCACTTCAATGATTCCTTGCACACATTCACGTTCACCATAATATGTAGATCTTCTTCTATAGAGATACAAACTTGAGAATGAAACATATGTGATATTTGTTCAGATGTTTCATTTGTCGCAAAGTTAACCGAGGAAACGCTGGCTCTAGACGATTGGCTGGTTGAATCTTCTTTGACAACCGCCCATTATGCGATGCGAGAAAATCACAGAGCGTCAACTCAAATAGAAAACACTATTGTTCGAACAATAATTAACACAAAGAAAATCATTTGCCAAACATTTTATATCATAATGTCAATACATTTACTTTGTGGAAAAATATTATTATACCAATAAAAAAATCATACTAAAGACCCGTACATAGCAAGTATTTCAATTTAAAAATGAAATAAATTAATGTTTTTAGCTTCGGAAGTTTAGATGCCAAGGCGTATTGACTCTAGTAGCTTGAATACAAATATGTTCTGAATGCAATTTGTTGGCAACCAATACTATGCATCAATAGGAAATTTATAAGTATTCCAACCACAGTTTCTGATGATCCTAGTGGTACACTGGCAAATTTTAATAGAGAGGCAAGTTCCAAACTTTAATGGAAAGAACTAAACATGATACTGGAATAGCCAATTTTGGTGTTTTGCTGGAGAGTTGGCAAGCATTGGCATGTTGGAAAATTGTATAGCCAAATTATTGAACACCCAATCATCGCTTTCTTTAGCTTGTCTTAAAAGTGCCCTCATATTTAGCACTATGACATCTCTGATTCTAAATTAGACCCGTCAATTGATGCAAGAAAACTATCTTAAATAAGGTGCCAGTTTCTTATACCATAACTTAACTATTGAATTAATATTTTTGCAAAGAGCATGGATGGTGGGAGGATGCAAAGGAGCAGCTAAATGACAGAATTAAAAATAAAAAAGAGGTAAGTGATGCACAGCAAGAGGACCTGAATACTAAAGATACCGGGAAACGTAACCACACCGGGCAGCATGATGGTTACTTCATTCATTGAGACGGGAAATGTAAACATGATAATGAAATTACACAGATCCACAATAATAAAGCAAAAATCCAAACTCGTGTGCAAAGAAATTTGACTGCTACCCATTTAAATGTGGTCTTCAACATCTAACATATCAAAGATAAAAATAATAGAGATCCAGTAAAATCTTCAATTCAACAGAAAATAAAGAAAAAATCATAGGTATATGCATTTATACACTTGCTAGACGGGACTAAGATGACTTCGAAGGAGATTTGTGGACTCCGTAAAGATGAGCACCGAGTGCGCTTGAACTGGCCTGCGGCCGGAGTACTTCAAGCATGTGCCGGCCGGAGGTTGCTTTCTCCCTTCTGGGACTCGAAATGGGTGGAGATGGAAGTTAAAAATTTTGGGAAAAATGGGTGGAAATGGAGATTTCAATTGAGCCGGCTGGAAATTTTCAGGCCCTTCGTTTCTGTACTATGGAGGAAGTGTGAGGAGAGAGAGAGAGAGAGAGAGAGAGAGAGCAACCTTGGTTTTATTAATTAATAAATTTCCCTCCATTTTTTAATGAATTAAATAATGCACCGTGACTAATTTTCAAATCCCTGTATCCATTCCGTCAATACCTCGTCCACCTAGCATAATTGGAGTGTGTTTCGCGCGGGTAGTCGCTAACAATTAAAAAAGGATCAGACGATTGTATAAGGAACAGACCTCTTGAGATAAAGTCCCAAAAAGAGGTATTTTATTGGCGATGATTTACAATTGGAAATAAACAGAATGCCTCCAAAGGATGCAAGCACACGAGTACTAAAAGAAGTGTTTAAATTTAAGCTAAGAAATTAAAATTACATATTCTCTATTTGAGAGTGTTTGATTCCCCTTTTTCTCTATGTCTTCACTTCCTTTTTATATTCCCTTGATGACTTCCTCGTGACGAACCGCTTGGAAACTGCTTGATTGCTTTATAACTACCCACTTTCTTTATGGTGGCTAACTTGTTGTGGAACTACCGTCTCTAATTACTGTCGTTACTATTTGTCGTTCAACTGCCTTCAATTGGGCTCCTTGAATCGTGGAATGTGATAAGATTACTCAATAACTACTTCAATAACTGCTATTCTGGATAACCATAATATTTTATGTTTGCTAAGATTCTGGGCGATCGAAGGTTTGGGCGAGAACGGGGTCATCGCTCTGGGCGACAGTAAGGCACTCTATTCGCTCAGATTCTGGACGTCTTGCAAGTTTGGGCGATGATATTACTGTGTTCGTGGGCTTCCACTGCATTCAATAATAATCCTGTTTGGACCTTTATCCTAGACTCCCCAATTGGGCTTCACTCTTTGGGCTATTTAATTTGGACTGCACTTTTAGTGTGTCAACAATTACCCCCCAATATGGCAGAATTAATACCAATTATTAATCTTTGCCATATTCATTTCGTATTTTCCAGCAACATTTGAAATTTCCAAGAATTTCAATCATTATTTCCTTCTATAGCTTGAAAAGGTGCAACGTTACAAACCCTTATAAACCCAAAAGACACGCCATTTCATCATACCACTAAACCACGTCTCTATATTTCGTGCTTCCTTCTCACTATTTTACTGTTCGTCTTCTTGCTTCTCTGCTACGTTCTCAGGCAAATCTTAACAAAACTGTACTTTGCACCCAATGGCAACTTCACAAACTCAATCTGATGATTCTTTTAGTTTCGAAGATTACCAGAAATCCTTACTAGGCCATATGTAAATCCAAACTTCCTTGCACAAGCCAATGCTGGTCTCAATGAATTTTATCTGGGTCCATCATTCATTAATGCCGAAGCCGTTGGACAAGTGGCGGTGGGTCAGCTGTTCCCTTGCACTCAAGACCCTCCGTTCCTGAACTCTCTGCCATTGAGGCCGATTCGCGAAAAAGATATTCGCACTTGACCCAAAGCTGATGTTATTTTTCATAGATGGCATGCACATCTTGTGAATCATGGCCCTACCAAGGTAATTTTTGATCGTGCTAGAATTTCGGGCTTATTAGAAATCGCTCTTCAACCCCCAATTTTCGACCCAGTGCTTTTTCCGATTGTTTTGAGTTTTTGGTCTTCTGAATATAATACCTTCGTTTTCCTTCTTGGTCCCATGTCTATTACTTTAAGGGACGTTGGAGCCCTAGTAAATCTTCCGCCTTTGGGCGGTACCATCTTTCCTGGTATCTTGATTTTCAGTGTTGGCTTGAAATTTGACAAGAAACTTACTAAATCCTATTCAAGCATGCAAGGCTTTTATAATCATTCAAGCGCTGAACCTTCCCATATTGAGCGTGTGGCCTTTCTTCAAATTTAGCTCTGTAAATATATTCTCTGTGTGCCAAGTATGAAACCTTCTATGAGCTACTTACCTTTAGCGCATGAATTGGCGCATGGTAGACTTTTGAACTTATGTTCCTTCTTTTTAACTGCCCTTTATAGAGGCATGACTTCCCTTCAATTTTAACTGAAGAATGGTGCATCTCCTACTGGCAGTGGGCCCCTTTGGTTCACTCAACTGTGGTTGAGAGCATATTTTCCACCACTTGGTGCTCCATCCATTTTCCTTCGTTCTGCTAGCTGTTATGGGCTAGCCATTGACCCATTGAATCCTGTAAATATGTCCAGTAAGGACATTTTTTCATTCTTTTATACCTTAAATTCGATTCTTTCCTTCTTTCCTTTTCCTGCTCACTTGACTCCAGATTATGTGTAACCTCCATCCACCCTGGACAGTGCGAGCGCCTCTCTGTTTGTTTGGGTTCAGTTTTTGATTGGGAGGGAATTGTTCCATGATATTTTAACTGGAACCAATGCCAAGGCTGGGGTTGAAATATATGCTCCCCAATTTTTTGCTCGCCAAATTGGTTTTGGCCAAACTTGGCCTGTTCCTCCTTGCTACTCCAAAAATTTGACAGATGTTTTCACACTATTAATAAGGCAGAAGCACAAGCTGTAGATGCTCGCAACATTCTTTTGACGAGCAAATTTTTATTAACCCCTTTCAATTCTAGCTGTGCCAACCATCCTCTTTTTGAACAGCTCTGGCCATCAGTAAAACACAGATTGTTTGCAACTGATGCTAATCGTGCTTTCCATTTACTGGATCAGCGAGACACTTCCTCTACTTCTCCTATTTTGGTCACCCCTGTGTCCATTAGGAATCCTTCCTCCCCTACTCGCGCTAAACATCTTATCTGTCCATCTGCTTCTCCACTTGCCAAGGCTACTACAGCTAAAGGCGCCTTAAGTCGCAAACGGCCAGCTTCAATATCTCCCATTTTGCGAGATGATGACGACGACGCTCCTCTCATCCTTAGGAGAAAGGTAATTGAATTTGTTTTTTTTACAAACATACTTTTCTATGTACTAATGGTTTACCTGAATTTCTCAGAAAAGTTCAGCTTCTCATTCGATGGTTTTGGTTTTAGCAACTCCTGCTTTATCATCTTCTGCTGAAACTGCTTCGCCTAAATCAGCTGATGAAGGGACTATACTTAAAGAGAAACCTTTAATCCCGGAATCTTCATCACAACCAGTAGAAGGGTCACGTTCTTCCCAGGGCGTCGACCCCTGAAATGTCGAACCAGAAGGTAATACATATTTTGATGTTTTACCTTTGCTTGTGCTACTAGTTTCTGATTCGTTGCTTCTTGAATTATGCAGAGGCTCCCATGGGCCTGCCCGTTGTGACAGAGTCTTCTTGCCTATATAAGGGGAAGTCCCCGCAGGCGGTGGAGCCAACTGGTGATATATCTAAACTTCCCAAGATTGCTGATGAGGTAACCTTTTGTTTCACTTTCATTTTTGCTTCGTTTATTGTAGTGAAAGTCCTCAATGTTGGCATTTTTCTTTGCAAGGTGCTGATGACATTGTGCATTCCATCTAGGACTTGTTCACTTTCTGGGGACAAGTCAAGACGTCTCGCCCTACTTCAACCAGTCATCCTTCTGCTTCATCTTCTGCTTTTTCGAAGGAAAATATGAAGTCTATCAAGCAGTCGGTACTTGAGTATGTGTCTTTTATGGATATGGATATCGGCCAGGCTAGTGCTACTAAACATAAGGATAAGTTTGAGCTATTGAGTGCGAAATTGGTGCAAGCACTTACACTTCCGTCGCTCAATGTTTCTGCTGAATTTAAAGCGACATTGAAGATTGTCCACTCTGACATCCTCTCCTTGCTAGCTAAAAATGTTGAACCGAAGGCCAGGAGTACTCAATATCTTCGTGCTACATCTGAAAGAGAGTCTTTGCTTCTAGAGATTAACAAAGCCGATGATGAATTGAAAGAAATCTCTTCCGACATTATGATCGAAGACTCTTTGATGATAAGTTTGGCTGCAGAGATGAAGGAGCTTCAAGCAAAGATGAACGACTGTAGGGTGAGAATGGCTGCTAAAAAGCGTAATGCTTCCCAAGGAATTGAACGAACCAAGTCTTTGGTTGAACAGTATAAAAAGCTGGAGGTTGATGACGATTTTGTAACTGAATTAAATGTCGCTTCTTCTCAACAGAACGAAGATTGGGGAAGACTTAGGGAAAGAATACGTTCGGCTTGGGGTGAATTGTAATTAAGACATCCATTGCCTTAACTTTCCTTTTGTAATTTCGCACTAATTGTCATTGCTAATTTTGAATGTAATAGCAGCTATCGTCATTAATGAACTACTATTTTGTCTACTTGCGTATTAATTGACGTTGTCCTTAATCGTTAACCCCCTAAGCATTTAATTGCTTTATGCTAAGATTCATGTACATTTTTTCTTGGTATTCCTGTCTCTTTTTCCAAGACTTTGGGCCATTTGATTTCAGTTATTAGGCACGAATGTGGCCGTTCATATTCTGTCTTTTCACCTTCACGCCTCTATAAATGCGCGTGTATTTCGCACTTATCATTTTCATTTCTATTCTTTTCTTCAAAAACTAATTTGTTGCCATCTTTTGGCATCTCAACAATTGATCCAAAATTTTCGTCTTCCATAGAAATTGATCATTTGATCCATCCATTTTGCTATCTGTCTTGATGTCACCTTTGGTATGGGTGATATAGGAAATATTCTTTGGGCAGCAAAGGTCTTCCCATTGTCTCCATGTTCTTTATAAGGAGTTCAATGATGGAAGGCGATTTTTGAGAGTGCTTCTCGGTATCTCTGCCTACCCTTGCAGCAGTGCGATCAGGACGGCGATCAAGGTCGGTTCACCCTCTTACTTGGCAATCGACTGAGAAATTAGTTTGCTCTCAATTGTAGCTCATAGAGCATTTAATATTTTGTATCTCACAATTTGTAATGAATATTTGATAACAAATGAATTTATTTGAACGTATTTCGTTCTTGCCTTATTTATCTACGATCGTTCAACGCAATTATATTGATTACACTTTTATTTATTCACTTTCCCATAAGGAAGGAACATACTTTTTTAAATATTTGTCATTAATGATCCTCATGTGCTTGATGTCATTTAAATCTTCTAAATGATAGGCTCCAT